CTTCAGCTTCTGTACGCACAGTGGAGACCTCTGCGCAAGCGTCCAAGCGTCACGGTACTTGACCTTATCAAAAAGCTCCCGATAGGAGCCTCTCGGCATCGTTTTTGCACCGGAGCCTTCAGCTTCACGCATCTGAGTGAGGGTTCTCACCGCCTCTCTTCCAGCTTCCTTGCTTCCAGAAGATTGTTGTGCCCGTACAGCTGCATCGGAAGGAACTGCTTTTTCCGGTCCCTCCGGTCGATATCGGACGCCTCCCACCAATCGTAGGATTTTGCATGCTGTCACCTTGTTGATCCCTTTTTCAAGCAGATCTTCCACAAAGATGAACTCCTGCAGGTCCGACACGGTGTTCACACCAAGAGTAATCATCACCTCACTTACATGAGGGGTATACACCCAAAGGTGGTTATTGCGAGCCATCCAATTTTCAATTGGCTCCTCTGGATCTTGAAGCAGAGTACCAGTGGACTCAGCCACCGAATTCTTTTGTTCAACAGCTTCTTCTTCATCCAGAATACCCTTTTCACCATCTTTTTGTGACACATTGGTCATTTGCAGCGCTTTTGGTGCCGAGGAGGACGAAGATTCTGCTCCCCCACTTACCGGTGGTTGAAAAGCGTTCCTGTCGGGAATCTCCAATCCCCTTCCCCTTTGAAATGACACATGGTTTGCCACATTCACCAAATGCTTCAACTGGGTCAGCCGGTCTTCAGACATCTCTTCGTGAGAATACTTGCAGCCAAATCGCACACGACATCTCCCTTTGAGATAGTAGTCGAAACAGCAATGGTGGAACCCGCGTCCCTCAGTGCCTTCCTGGAAGCATTGTCCCAAGATTTGCCAGGCTCCCAAGTCCCTTCCAATGCCATGTCATCGTCGTGGAGATACCTGCACGCAGTCCCATATTTACAACCACCTTGATTGTAATACAGACACAGCCGTTTCTTCGTTTCACCCAGCGTAGGCTCACCTTTTGATGTCCCTTTGCCATAGTTGTACTGGGCACGGAAGGCCGAATCCTCCCGCTCCTGCTGCACCTCATCCACTGTACCTTCATCAGTTGGAGGGCCACCGATGTCCCCATCCTCGTCACCAGTTTTTTGGCTGTTCTTTGGCTCAGTTGGCTCTCCTTCAGGCCACCCTTCACCATAACGACGATGTTCATAGGAACACCCATCTCCATTTCGACACCTCCCTTGATTGAAGAACTTGCACAGCTTGCTGTATCCAGGTGACACAGTCTTCGGAGTCGTGTGAGCCTTTTTGTACTGATCAGGATCCATGTAGGCTTCCATTGGCCTGTTTTCCCTCTTACTCATCTCCTCGATTGCACCATCAAGCTCTTGCAGAAATCGCTTGGTATCCAACCACAGCTCGTTCCAAAGCTCATCTTTCCCTTTGCTCAGCAACATTGCCACCGTTTCACCCACGACTGGTCCACTAAATCTTCTTTTCTTGCGTGCCAGTTCGTAGAGCGCGTTGTGGTACTGCTTCCGGGAAAAAGTGGTTGTTTTTTCCGAACCTGCACGGTCTGTCTCCTCAGGCTTCCAACCATCACTTAGCAAGATGTTGTATGCGCTCCGAGCCTCACCGTTCAGGAATGTATGATCTGCGATACACTCCACAATCACGTCCATTGGACGACTCAGCAACATCCCAGTGATTTTGCCCACATAGTCATTATCTATTGTTTCATCTTCCAGGAGATTTCGATAGATCTTTTCTCCATAGAGCTGTTTCTGCTCAGCCTCCTCTTGTTCCTTAGAGGATGCTTTTGACTCGGCAAACCACTCGCGAGACTGCTGTTCTTCCGACTTCCAGTCCCATTGACCATCGGAACCTTTGTACCATTGACCAGTCTGCCATGAGCCTGTCCACCATGTACCCCAGCCGCTGTCCTTCCATTTGCGCAGCGTTGAAGAGGAATCCTCCTCGTCCTCTTCCAAAACCAGAAAGGTGTCCAAGATTATGGTACCATCATCTTCCACTCGTTTCACTGTTCCATTGACAGTATCACCAAATTTGAACTGATGTACATTGTTCCCTTCTGCAGGAACCAATACATTCATATCACCATGGTCCAAAAAGGCTCCATACCCATTGATGCAGCGCACTAGACCAATGATCTCATCTCCCTCCTGATAGCAATGTTCCCCAGGTGATTCCAAAGCTCCCGCTCGAGGCACTCTCTTTGCATGCCCTTCAGAAACCATCTCCGTATCATCGGCTCCTGACACATCCTTTATTTCCACCTTTGGGTCACACTGCTCGTCCTGCTCCGACGTGAGTCCCACAAGATCATCCATCTTGTGCTCCAAGGGCTCAGGATCTTCCTTTTTTCCAGCCAATGGCTTTGCCTCATCCGTTACAGTTCGCTCGGTGTCGACTTCCGGCGAGCTTTCAGATGGCAACACCTCTCCCTTCCTGGGAGTGGACCCACCATTGGAGTCCTTTTTCAAACCTTCTGCAGCAGGCAAATTTTCTTCCACTACAGGGCTATTGGATTGGTCATCCGCGGTAGGCACATTTTCTTCCACCGCAGGCTCCTTTGGCTCCATGGTTTCCAAAAGAGAATCACCACTGTTGCTGACCACAGCTGCCTCATTGGCTCCGGTGTAGCCTTCGCCATTTCGTTCCTCGCTGCTAACTTCAGGCTGCACCAGTGCGTCCACCTGTGAACCTCCATCGTCAGCTGCTACAGAGACCTGCGCCCCATTGTTGCAGTCATCCGCGGAACGTGACACCATATGCGCCTCAACCCGTGCTTTTTCTGCACTCCAGGTACTATCTGGCGCGTTGACCCGCGCTTCATTGGCGCTCCAGGCCTCATCTTTCCGATCACCCGTGTCTCCAGCAGTTTCAGAAGTTTCCTTTTCCCTTTGAATGGCAGAATTCTCGGCACCAAACGAAGAGACCTCCTCAGTCGTAATGCACAACTTTTTCCCTTCGTCATCCAAATCTCCAGGGCCATCTTCCTGAACGACAGGCACCACATCCACCACTCGCTCTTCTGCAGGCGACACAATTCCGATCTGGCATTTTTTCTTCTGGACCCACCGATTCCACCGCTGCCACACCCTCAGAAAGCGCCTCCATCTCTTCCCGATCCAGATGTTGAGCTTCAGCGATGTCTGCTCGGTTTCCAGAAATCCCCTCTTCATCAGGAGAACCCGAGGTCGGGGCGTCACCACCAGCCCTAGGACCGCTATCCCTGATAGTAGAGGAAAAATCTTTTTCACCTACACTATTTACACTACCCTGGATTGCCTTCGTAGACTCAGGTGTCGGTGTAGTCGATGAAGGACCCAGTTCAGTCTCCACTTCCAGCCCATTGCCCGAAGGAGACCCAACCACGTTGTCGCTTTTCACCTTTTCCCCTACATCCGGCAGCGTCCACTTGCTTTCCTGCGTATCCAGGCAGTAGTAATACTGTCTCCCATCTTCGTGGAAGTGCCATTCCCACGTTGTCCCATCGCACGCTTCGATCAGATGCTCATCTTTCCGAAAACCATCCCTTTCAGAGACTTGACGCATCTCATCCTCTTCTTCTGACAACTGGCGCAACCTTTCAGCCTCCATCTGTAAGATCTCCTCTTCCCCCATGGCATATTCAGCAGTTGGCGCGGCTTCAAAGCTGTCCGCACCCTTCTGTTCGTAACCGCTTCCACCACCCAGGGAACTCGCCGAGGGATCCCCTTTAATCTTGTTCAGAGGCCTCCTGGCAGCTTGCAGCACTTCTCCACTCAGATTGGTCTGAGACCCTTGGTCTATCATTCGGCCCGAAGTCGAAGTAGACGGCTGATACCCATGTTTGTGCAACACGCGTAAAACAGTCACCTCCATTTCACGGTCTATACCACCAGTCGCGTCCCAGCTCCTTTTTTCACCAGGCTTTGGCGATACAGAAACAGCACGTCCTTCAGCTTCAGCATTGCTAACCATATCCACATTGGGATTTATACCCACATTGGAGTATTCTGCAACCAAGGCTTCTTCCAGATGTTCTTCAGCGCCAGGCATCACCTCTTCCAGCACCGTCCTTTCACCCAGAGACTCAGCTGCACCGTTTCCAGCTCCACCATTCTGTCCACCATCCGAGGAAGGCTGGAGCCATCGTTTGGGAGAAGGCATTGCTTCTTGATCCCAAAAACCTTGAAAGAACACTTAACCGCAGGGAACCTAATTTGGGCTCATAACCTACGGGGGGACAACCAAGGAAGGAAATCAACTCCCCTAATCGCCCTGAACTTATATTTCCCAGATCGAACCAAGAAACAACCAAGAACACGGATAAGAGCAACCCAGGGGGGAAGGAAAGGGGGAAGGAATCCACACCCTTACCAAACCCTAAGAACCCAGGCACTACTTTTTGAACTTGTGGCTTTCTGTTCAAGCCCATCTTGAGCCAAACATGTTTTCCGGGTTCATTAACCCTTCCAACTCTCAACACTAACTCTTTTCTACAATACCAGTTGCAGCTCCGCACCCTAAACCCTAAGCCCTAAACCCTAAACGCTAAACCCTAGCCCGGGCTCAGGGTTCTCAGGCTCCAGGCTGGCAATGAAGGCACTATGGGTTTTCAGGCGTGCATGGATTGAATTCGGGTCGGTTGAGGGCCCTCAACCTTGAAGGGCTTCATTCGGGCAGAGCCTGCGTGGGGTTGAACTAGGGTTTACGATGTAGGGCCCGCCAGCATAGCCAAGCTCGTTGCAAAGAGGCCCACCACCCATCGTAGGCCCTTCACCAGCATCATGCAGCTCCCACACCAGCTTCAATGCAGCTGAGGGGGCAGGGAGTAAGGGGGGGTGGGGGGGGGGGGAAAACAAAGCCTTTCTGCACATCGGATGCCTCAAAGCATATCATGATCATCAGTGCTGCAGCTCTGGCACTGGCTGTTGCTTTAGTAGGTCTCTGTAATATTAGGGGGTAGGGGGGAGGTTCACTCTCAGAGGAGGGAGAGCTTTGTCTCTCAATGCCATGGGTGAGCAGCTGTGCGTGGAATGTCTGCATCCGAAACCGGGTCCGATGAGGAAGACGCAGATCCACAGGGTGAGTTGCACAGCTTGTTGGAAGCGGCCCGAGATACTAGGCACGATGACCTGTCCCTGCTTTACATGCAGTGTCTTGCAGCCTCCCTGGTGCAGTTCGCGTGCGCCCCTCTGACCTTCTTGTCGGCCCACCGCGGCTACGGACTTGTTGCTGCGTCGATTGTAGGTCTCATGGTCCTGGGCTCCGCAGGCTTCCAGTACTGGGTGGCTCGGACGTTGCGTTTGTGGCTCAAGCGCCAACCATGTCGGGGAACGTGGCAACACTGCGTCGATGCCCTGGCTGGCTTCGACGGTACCCGCGGGCTGCGTTGTCTTACATCAGGTGGGCCTGTGTGCATGTTCGCCACAGTTGAAGCTATAGATCCGGCTCTGGATGCTTGGGCAGCTGCGAATGCATTCAGCCTGTATGCGGGCTCTCTGAAGTTAGAGTTTGAGTCATCTTGGGAAGGTGTTCCGCTGGTAGGTTGGCTCGTAGCTTGGCTAGGCTTGCCAGGAATTCTGGTGGTGATACTTCTGGGCTCAATGCTATGCCAGCTCTGGTCTTTGCACCATCGGCATCAGTACCTCACCTCACTGTTCGACGAATTCGCGGATCAGGCGCAGGGAAGCGCCAAATGCAGGTTCAAAGTGTGGTACGAATGGAAGCACGCAACCGACCTAGGCGGCTTGCTGATCTTGCTTGATGTCTTTGAGAAGCTGCTCTACGCGGAGCTGAAGCGTGACACCCAAGGAGAGTTGTATCAGGTCGTGGATCGCTTTTGGGCGTTCATCCCGAAGGTTGTTGCAGAAGCCCTTCCGAGCCTCTGGTTTCAAGTGTCCGTCCTTGCGTCTTGGTAGCCCAGTGGTACCCTTTACCCCTTGTAAAGTCACCAACCAAAAAAAAGGGTGCCCTTATCATAATATGGTTACTGGGCTGCCAAGGCTTTGACCTATGACTCATGCCCTGGCAGTACATTTGCCATCAACCTGATGTCCATGGCCAGCAGCATCTTTTGCATCGCCAAGTTGCTGCACTTACAGATCTCAACCTTACGCTTTGGATTTCGAACCAAGACGCAGCGATTCTGCAACCGCCCCGAAGTGTGGCTCAACTCCATCGCCTGCATGCTTTCATCGTTCTGTTTCGCCATATGTTTGCTCCGCCTCGCAGGTCTGTGGATTTGTCCCAGCCACATCTTTTTGGTGAGCCGGGGCTGTTTCAAAGAGGGGCCTTAGGCTTCCAAGCGTCCACGCAGGGTGAGTCGCACCGAGCGCATTGGAAGCCAGAGTTAAAAAGTTCATAGATGTCCATGGATTTTGGGGCAGGTCGAGATAAAGGGGTGGTGCTTCGTTACTACGCACCATGTGATTTTTTGCCTGCAGTAGGTGGTTGTCTATCAGGCAGATTGTTATTGGACCTATTGGATGATGGTTTGTCAGGTACTGTACCTTAAACCCTAAACCCTAAACCCTAAACCCTAAACCCTAAACCCTAAACCCTAAACCCTAAACCCTAAACCCTAAACCCTAAACCCTAAACCCTAAATATCATATATGGTATCGTGGGGCGAGCGCAGAGTACCTAAAACTTAAATCCGGCGAAGAAGGAGTGGGGCGAGCTTCCCCCAAACTCCTGAACCCCAACTCAGAAACCCCCCCCCATGGAAGCTGCGCCCTAAACCCTAAACCCTAAACCCTAAACCCTAAACCCTAAACCCTAAACCCTAAACCCTAAACCCTAAACCCTAAACCCTAAACCCTAAACCCTAAACCCTAAACCCTAAACCCTAAACCCTAAACCCTAAACCCTAATACCCTAAACCCTAAACCCTAAACCCTAAACCCTAAACCCTAAACCCTAAACCCTAAACCCTAAACCCTAAACCCTAAACCCTAAACCCTAAACCCTAAACCCTAAACCCTAAACCCTAAACCCTAAACCCTAAACCCAAACCCCAAAACCCAAAACAGAAACCCCAAACGGTCGAGGCTGCGTGCCATGCTCTGACCAATTGCCTAAGAACCCAAAAAATCAAGAAGTATTCTTCCGGGCAATATGGGGAGTATTATTGTTTTTTTTTGGGGGGGGTTCTTAAGCAAATAGTAGGAAGGTGCAGGGTTGACAGGGTTCCGTGCCATAACATGTCGTGAGCGTTTGGGGTTTAGGGGGCTTAAATCATGGTAAGGTTTAGGGTTTAGGGTTTAGGGTTTAGGGTTTAGGGTTGAGGGTTTAGGGTTTAGGGCTTAGGGCTTAGGGCTTAGGGCTTAGGGTTTAGGGTTTAGGGTTTAGGGTTTAGGGCTACTCAGAGAGCCCGAATTCAAAGAGGTTGGGCTCACCAGCTCGGGTGTTGCGGGTGAATTCGGGCTCTCTGAGTAGCCCTAAACCCTAAACCCTAAACCCTAAACCCTAAACCCTAAACCCTAAACCCTAAACCCTTGTAGATGCTTCAAGGTCAGTTTCTCTCGAGAAAAGCGCCCCTTGGCCCTAAGCCCAAGAGGCCCTTCCCTGAAGCACCAAACCCTACTTAGAGGCTCATGGTACTTAGCAAATAACTGTACTTATAACTGTACTTATATTAGGGCACTTAAGGGGCTTATAAGTGGGTTATAAGTACAGTTTTAATAAGTTACTAAGTACCATGAACCTCCAAGTAAGCCCTCACGCCCCCATAACTTGACGTTTACTCTCACGTTAGCAACAGCAACTCTGCGAAGCTTCCGCAAAGCTCCTCGAAACTCCCTGAAACATTCTCCGAACCTGAGCCCTCAATAGGGTTTAGGGTTTAGTGTTTAGGGTCAATGGTCCCTGCGGAGTAGGTGCCCAAGTGGTGCCTCCAGCGCGCTTGGCAAACAAGAACCCAATGAACCCTGAACCCTAAACTAGCGTGGAGCCTGCGGTTGCAGAGAGCGCTTGCAGAAAACCCTCAACCCTAAGCCCAAAACCCTAAACCCTAAACCCCACACTAATAGGCGGCCCTGGGACCGAGGTTTAGACACCCGCCGAAAGCCGGCCGAGACGAGCAGGCCTGCCCTGTCGGGAAGGGGGACCCCGAAAACCCCGAAAGAAAGGTGTCCAGTGTAGCCCTAAACCCTAAACCCTACACCCCACACCCTAAACCCTAAACCCTAAACCCTAAACCCTAAACCCTAAACCCTAAACCCTAAACCCTAAACCCTATACCCTACACCCTAAACCCTAAACCCTAAATCCTGCACCCTATCATTGGGTTTAGAAGTACCCCTGAACCTTCAAGCAGCAGCAATCCTTCCACGTGATTCCGTGGAGTCTTCTCCGGGCCATGCCAGGACTTAGGGCCGAGAGCTTGGGTTTAGGGTTTAGGGTTTAGGGTTTAGGGTTTAGGGTTTAGGGTTTAGGGTTTAGGGTTTAGGGTTTAGGGTTTAGGGTTTAGGGTTTAGGGTTTAGGATTTAGGGTTTGGGGTTTCGGGTTTAGGGGTTGGGCGTTAGATTTTAGGGTTCAGGGTCATCATGGTGATGCTAGGTAGTCCGATGCGCCTGGTCCCATCAAGCTTGCAGCATCCGAGTGCCTCCAGGAGAGGTCTCGCACCATGGCGCTGAAAATGTCGAAGTCGATGTCGCTGCCAGGCGGGACGGCGTAAAGGTTCCCCTTTATTCAAGGGATTAAGACTCGCACCCCGAAGATTGTACCCCTAATTTAATGCTGCCCCTTAAGATGCCCCGGCCCGTATGTTCTAATAGGGATCTGCAGAAAAAAACTCAAGCCCTGACTGACATGGCCCTGAATAATGTGTTCCCCTGAATAATATGGCCCTTATATTTCCCTTCGGGATCCTTAAAAGGGACCCCAAGAACTCAAGGGTACAACCTTCAGGGTCCAAGGTACACTAAACCCTAAACCCTAAACCCTAAACCCTAAACCCTAAACCCTAAACCCTAAACCCTAAACCCTAGATTTACGGTTGACCTCGTTCTCGCATTATCATCCGTGCTTCCGTGGGCAACCTGGGAGTGGTAAGTGGCCCTTTCTGGGTTTAGGGTCTAGGGTTTAGGGTTCCGGGTTTGGGATGGGAAGGAACAACTTAAGGTTTCCCACAGCGGCCGAGGATCTTGATGGAGTCTGATCGGACCCCAAATTGTTGCACATTGCGGTTGCGATGGGCAGGGGCGGGCTTCCCAAAGGTCCACATGGGTAGTTCTCCAAATTAGGGTCCCTTTTTGGGATCCCTTTTTGAAGGGTGCCGCCTTATCATGGGCAACGAAAGGGATCTTGTTTGAGTTGTGACTAATCCCTAAGCCCTAAAGCCGAAGCCCTAAGCCCTAAGCCCTAAGCCCCAAGCCCTAAGCCCTAAGCCCTAAGCCCTAAGCCCTAAACCCTAAACCCCAAGCACTGTCCAGGCCTCTGGAAGATGGGCACTGAGAGGCCAAAAGGCATGACCGGAAATGCCAAGAAGGCGCTGCCTGCGCACGACCAGGGTTCCGGGACTTGGGCCTCTAACGCCTAAACCCCTAAACCCTAAACCCGAAACCCTAAACCCTAAACAGTCCTTTCTGGAGAGGGGACTGTTGTGAGGCGGAGTTTTTTTGAATGTGATGCAGTGTTTTGGATGAAGTTGATTTTGTTGCGAGTGCAAAGCAGATGTACGAGGGTTTAGGGTTATAACGCCGACGGTATAAATGCCCTGACCTTAGGTGCATCAGGTTTAGACATTAAAACCTTTAAGCCTTATAAGGCTTTTAAAGGTTGAATTAAATTCAGGTTTGGGCATTCAACCTAGGTTAAACCTTAAACCCTATAGTGCAGCCCTACAGGGTTTAAACCCTATAAGAGGTTAAAGGTTTAGAGTTTAAGGTTTAGGGCATTGCAAAAACGTAGCCCTCAGGGATTTAATCACTTTACTGTTTTCCTTAAGCCTGAAAGCATATAGTGTTTGGGTTTAGGGTTATAACGCTAAACTCTATAGGATAAGAACCTTATAACCCTATATGGGGTTGTATAAAAACCCCGAGTTAAATCTATTCATCCTACAAGCTTAGTACTGGAACCGACGTTCCCGTGAGCCGGTTGGGTTTTCGTTGATTTGTAGTACAAGCTTAGTACTGGAACCGACGTTCCCGTGAGCCGATTGGGTTTTCGTTGATTTGTAGTACAAGCTTAGTACTGGAACGGACGTGCCCCTGAGCAGGCTGGGTTTTCATTGATTTGTTGTACAAGCTTAGTACTGAAACCGGCTAGGTTTCCGTTGATTTGTAGTGCAAGCTGAGCAGGCTGGGTTTTCAATGTTTTCATGTATTTGTAGTACAAGCTTATCGCTGGAATAGCGCCTGCCCGCCCTGTTACTACAAAGTTATCGGTTTATTTTCTTGATTATCGTTTTACGAGTCAGAAGCACGGCCCAAACGCTTCGGGCAATTCCTTTCAAAATCGACTGCGCGGGGTTTTGATACAACCCCATATTATAGGCCTTGGACTTAAACCCTACTGTTTACCTTAAGCTTTACAGCAGATAGGGTTTAGGGTTATAACGCTGAAGGTATAAATGCCCACACCTTAGGTACATCAGGTTTAGGCATTAAAACATTTAAGCCCTATAAGGTTTTTAAAGGTTTAACCCTATAGGATTTAAACCCTGTAAGAGGTTAAAGGTTTAGAGTTTAAGGTTTAGGGCATTGCAAAAACGTAACCTTAAGCCTTACAGCATAAAGGGTTTAGGGTTCTAATGCTGAATGTATAAATGCCCAGACCTTAAATACATCAGGTTTAGGCATTAAAGCCTTTAAGCCCTATAAGGTTTTCAGAGGTTTAAGGCCTGGGGATTTAAATTTAAGTTTGGGCATTCAAACTAGGTTAAGCCTTAAACCCTATAGGGCCCCTTTCGGGTCAGGGTTTATCTACCCTACCGGGTTAGCCCTTTAGGGTTTAAACCCTATAAGAGGTTAAAGGTTTAGAGTTTAAGGTTTAGGGCATTGCAAAAACGTAACCCTAGTCCCTCAGTGATTTAACCACTTTACTGTTTTCCTTAAGCCTTAAAGCATATAGGGTTTAGGGTCATAACGCTAAACTCTATAGGATTTTTAACCTTATAACCCTACATTATTAGCACCCACATCATCAAGACATGTCCTGTAGGCCCCGGGGACGCGAGAATACTATGAGCAGATATCCTTTTACTCGCACATGTGACATCGCAACCTTCAGATATAGCGCTGGAACCAAGGTGAGATTGGATATCGTTTTGTGAAGCAGTTGTGGCTGTGA